GTGGAGTGGGTGGTTTTGGTGATGGCTTTGGTGGAAATGTATAATTGGATGTCGTTGGCATAACAGTGAAACTGGAGACAGTAATGATAGATGATTTTGCCAAGGGGAGCATGTAGAGAATAAAGAGGAGGGGACCAATTATCAAGGGCAAATAGCTAGTTTATTAATGTAAGTTAATAGTTACTTTAACATTAACAAGCAATGAAATTATGATTAATAATTTTCCTTAATTATTATTATATCTATTAATGGTTATTATTATTATTATTATTATTATTATTATTATTATTATTATTATTATATCTATTAATGGTCTATATGCTGTTTATAAATGATGAATAAACATTAATAAACTATCTGCTCATCATTTATAAATGGTCTATTTACCGTTTATAAATTATGGTCATTGTAAGTGTTACCCACCACTGCCTCGGCACAGAGGATGAGATTCACAGGTAGATTAGAACCCAACAATGAAAAATCACTGAGGATACAGAGCTTCATTCAAGCAGAGCTTAATGAGAGCCGCTCTGCCTCCAATTAGCATTTATGGCAACATCGCTGACACATAACATAACATTTAAACCGAATGCAGCTCAATTTATGCGACAACTCCAGAGACAGATTTGTAGAAAACACATTCGGTCATAATTACCACCCTATCTGTTCGTTTCCTTGCGAGTTACAGATGAATTTCCAGTGATTGTTTACAGAGCGGTGGCTGGTTCGACTGAAGTGATGAAAGATATTTGCACTCGAGACTGTTCGTGTTGTTTTTGCTGTCGGCTCAAACGAGCGATGTATCACAGGGACTAGAGTGGATTTTCTCCTGATTTAGCAAGTTTTGGAAGCCTCAGAGCACACACAGTACAGTACCATGTCAACATTTCTATGAAGGAGCACAACACCCTCACACATTTGCACATTAATTCAAAGCTGCATAATGAGAACAGACTCATTCAGAGGTTCTTCACGGGGAGTTTGGACCCCCTGCAGGTGCAAAATGCTTTTGGGTGGTCCAAAGATTATTTAATGAGTGTGGGAAATTACTTTTCTAATTTAGACTCATATCCTTTGAGGAAAAAAAGTCCTGTTTGTTCCCCAAATAATGAGGATTTGCAGCCTCTGGGTGTTCTCTGGTAATAAATCAAGAGGCATTGCCGGAGAATGGGAGGCAGAGATTGGTTTTGGTGCCCTGTGCGAGGGAATTGTGGGGGTTACATTCAGCCGTTGGTTTTGTTTCAACTGTTAGAGGCCAAATAGCTTTTTGATCCGTCATATCACAGAGGGAAATTGAAACTATCATGACTCCCCTTTGTATCATGAGTGTATAATTTCTATCAGCATTATGTCAGGAGAAATCAGGATGGACAAAGACGAGTCCAACAAGCTATTCTTATTCCTCCTTAAAGGGATACTCCGGCGTAAAATTAATTAAGGCTCAAAGCACTGTAACACCGAGTTAGACACCCCCACGAGAGATGAATGTTGCCAACTGCTTGCTTCTCTTGTTGAACCAACTTTAGTAACGGCAGGCAGTCAACCAAAACACCACTCTATAACCACAAATAATGCTCAGAACAGCACCTAACTTCATCAACATGACATGTAGAGTCTTAGCCATTGTACTAGACACCACACATCTTAACACAACTCACCTTCTCTCTTCCAACAGCCGTTTGTTTGTAGTGAGATTGGAGATTGTAGTCTATTGGCGGGGTGTCGCAGCTCAAGGAAGAACATTTATGATCATTTCTTCATGGAAATGCAATCAGACTGAGACGCCAAAGCAGAAGAACTACCACGTCTGCAGTGCAAAATGATTAAAGTAATTGTCATAAAGGTTTTCCTTGAGCTGCGTCACCCCGCTGTAGTCCGTAATGGACTGGCCTGAGGTCTCGCCACAAACAAGCGGCTGCTGGAAGAGAGTAGGTGAGTTGTGTTTAGTCTCTTTGCTAAAGAAATCAGGCAAAGCTAAAAAGATGTTTGGTGGCTAGGACCCTACATTTACTGTTGATGAAGTTAGCTGCTGTTCTGAGCATTATTTGAGGCTATAGAGTGGCTTTTTGGTTGAGGTTTGTTTATGGCTCCTGAGACATTCAACATTCATCTCTCGAGGGGGTGTCTAACTCGGTGTTACGGTGTGTTTGACCCTAAATTAATTTTACACCGGAATATCCCTTTAGGATATTTTAAATAGTAGACTTCCTATCCGGTAGTAGATGTCACTCAGGGTGCAGAGATGCTGAAGAGATGATTTACAGGCTGAGCATGATCAATATTGATCAGCGATGGGGTCAAGAGGGTCTTGGACAGCTTTGGGAGGTTGTGCAAGATTCTATGCTCCGTCTGATTGGTCGACCCAGAGAAGAAAAATCCTCTGACCTTATGTTGGAGACTCCTCACCCTGATTGATCTACTGCTTCTGACAGGCTCATTAGCTCTTTCTTTGAGTCACTCTGGTGTTGGAAGCAATCAAACCCAGGAGGCTTGGAGTGACAGAGCGGCAGTGTTGGAGGCAGAGGGTTAAAAGGGGGATATCAGAGCGCAAGTGAAGCGTTATTTTTTGGTCCCACAGATACAAAATCAATTGCATTTGTAAAGACCTGTCATTTGGGATGCAATCATGGTGGTATGGGGATATGCAAACGCTCATGGACTGTATTTGTGCAGAAAGCTAAAAAAAGATTGTCATACATGAACTGAACTCCCCCATAAATCAAACAAGATAAAACTCAAACTATCTAACATGACTTTGACACTTAGAACTCTCCCAAGTGACACCATTAACATTGTTTACAGTTTCTCGGGAACTCTACCATGGATCTCTATGGGATGAAAGTGTTCAAAAGTTTACCCTTTTGGCGATCTATCGAGCCTTTTCAGGCATTTCTACACCTGCCACAAGGTTTACAATCCAGCAACAAAAATAGGTGTTTGATCAGAGACGTTTGATGGTAAATACGCTGTGATATATCGGTGAAAAACATGATTATTCATCATATTGTTGTGATACATTGGCAGCATCGCTAAATGCCGCCAATGTTTGACAAATTGTTTTGATGACATCTTTTTCTGTCAAACTTTCAACCAATTACATGATCTCATAATCTTCTTCTATCGTTCCCTTGACGGTAGTGTCCAATAAGAGGCAACCAAATATCAACAAGAGACAAGAAAGTTCCCTGCTTGTCTGCAAAATAAGAAATACTGGTCCTCAATGCTTGGAAACAAGCAAAGAAGAGATTATGAGCAGTATGATGTGGTCCTCTGTCTCATCCCAGACAGGAACTGCTTCAAGGAGTGGCATAAACAACTGTAAATAGTAAAAAACGCCTGGAAGAATTCGTGTAAATATGTAAATAGTTTCTGTTGTGTGTTTGTTCCAATCCCAATATTTCTTCTCCTGAGAGCCAAGACTTGAGAGAATGATGTTCAGGTGAGAAAGGCTTGATCACTGTAGATTTATGTTTAAGCAAAGTACTGTTGATATCAATTTCCGTTTTTGTTTTTTGGTTGAGTTTGATGGTTCTGGATCTACTGTCACGTTCATTTTACATCATTTTTGCTCCATAAACTAACAGCTGAGGTTGTCCTGAAAAAAAAAGATGTGTTTATATTTGCTGTGCTGGAAAGGAGTTGCTACATAGATTTTTATAAAATAAAACAGGCGGACCAAAATGAGCAAAATATAGCTGGCAGTTCTAAGGGTTAACTCGGCAGCAGTCACATGTGAATTTCCTCAGCAGTTTGATTTCTCAGTTTTTAATTTGATAGAAGTGTGTAAAGTGTTTTACTATCGCTTCAGTAACACTGAATATTTCACACCCTTCTGCCGCCGCTGAATATATTACCGTGCTGTGTGAAAATATCGCACTCTGAAGTCACTGAATCCGACTCAGATCTGTTAATTTGCTTTTCTGGTCAAAGGGCACAGGTGGATCTGGACAAAATGAAGCATCTTTAAAATCCTTGAAGACACAATTCAAGAAAAGCTCTTCTTCATTTTTATTTTTTGAACATAGTATTCAGTTTTATTTTCATGTGGTCAAACATAAATCATATTATCACATAAAATCAGGACAAAGCAGAAAAAAGAGAAAGGAAAAAAGAATATTTTTTCAAATTAAATAAGTGCATATATAAATGAATAACACCCAAAGTGTACCGTAGTGTGGCAGGTTTGTCGGTCTGTTTAATATCAAAATCATATTCATACAATTTTTTCTTATCTGTATCTCAGGAAAGGGAAAAAAAGTATTTATGGTAATAAAAATGTTGATTTGTCCTCTGGTAGTGAAATAAATAAACATAAGAAGAAAAAAGCAAGAGAAAAAAAAAAGAATAAAAAATATATAGTATATGCACATACGTACAAACCAAGGAAAAAATGTTTATGACTCTGTAAATACAGTGCATACAATAAAAAAATTGTGTTATACTATTTAAAAGTAAAATACACAAATAAATTCATCTTCTCCATTTTTGTTGGGGAGAAGAAAAAAAAAGAAAACAACGTCATGCACTGATTTTTTGTCAAACAATGAAACAGGCCATAGCTGGAAGCAAAAAGATATTAGTGTCAGTACTCGACCAAAAATGAACCCGTATGGTCTATTTCAGTGCCCAGAGCTCGCAGCGTCTTGCTGAGCTGGCTTCATCGTCTCCTTTTATAAAACCGATGCTTCAGAAAAACTCCATAATTGGTCAGAAATGTCATTTTCTGTCTTATTGAAACCAGAGGACATCTTCTTTAACTGCGTGAAATTTCCATTTGTGGCGAAGACGCTCGGCGTAAACATCCATGAAAGTCAGATCGCTTCGACAAAATTGATTTCCATCCGGCAGTGTGTGTTGGCGCCGCATGTGTGGGTCAAAACGGCGTGTAATGTGTGAACCAGTGTGTGATGTTATGTGTGATTGTGTTTCTGGAGGGGCGGGGCTGCTGTGGAGTTTTCTTGGTACATTATTAAGGAGGAGGGGTGGGAGGAGGCTGGAGACGTTTGGGGGTCAAAGAAGTGGATGATGGATGGTGGCATGTTATCCTCTTTTCCTGCAGCAAACAGCAGCAGTGATGGCTGTCGCTCTCTGCAGCTTTTCAGGCTGCTTAAGTGTGTGAGTGTGTGTCTGTGCACGGACACTATATCTTGTGGGTTCGAGGAGGAGTGTATCTCCGGGCTGCTGATCTAGTTAGCAGCATTAGCATTGCAAATCAAACACCAGGCTGAATGTCTGGAGGTGATTCCAAAAAAACAGTTGCAAATCAGGTCTGAAACTGCAGATCTTGTTTTTGATTTAATTCACAATTTCCTTCATGGATGCATGTATAAACTACAAGTCTACAAATGGACTTTTGACCAGGCTGATTATGCAAATGAAGGTATCAAATAAAGATCGAGTAAATGATTAAAATCTGGTTTTTAGTCGGGTCTGAGGCATTTTCGTTTTTGCCTTTCTTACTGTGATAACTTCATTTCTTTTTGAGAACAGTTCGCTCGAATATTCATCCTTTGTCTTCCCCGTGGATCGTTAAAAACATGGGTGTGGACTCAAACTAGGGTGACCATATTTTGATGACTGAAAACCAGGACAAAAATCAGGACTTTGCCCAGCCCCTTTAGTTTTCTTCTTCATCCTAGAGGCCGAATGAAAAACAAAGAACAATAAGTTATTTTCATCACTTTATAAACACAGGACATGTCCCGGAAAAACAGGATGTTTGGTTACCCTAACTTCAACGCAAAGGGGTGGAACTACATATATGATCTGCCAATCATATGCAGAGGCTGTTAAAGGGATATTCCGGTGTAAAATTAATTTAGGGTCAAACACATCGTAACACCAAGTTAGACACCCCCTCAAGAGATGAATGTTGCCGACCGCTTGCCTCTCTAGTTATACCAACTTTAGTAACAACCGCATGATAGCAATACACAGCAGTCTGAGGAGCCATAAACAAACCTCAACCAAAACGCCACTCTATAGCCACAAATAATGTTCAGAACAGCACCTAACTTCATCAACAGGACATATAGAGTCCCAGCCATAGTACTAGCCACCAAACATCTTTTTAACTTTACCTGATTTTTATAGTAAAGAGACTAAACACAACTCACCTACTCTCTTCCAGCAGCCGTTTGTTTGTAGCGAGACCTCGGACCAGTCCACTATGGACTACAGCGGGGTGTCGCAGCTCAAGGAAGAACATTTATGATCATTGCTTCATGGAAATTCAATCAGACCGAGACGCTACGGCAGAAGAACGACAGCGTCTGCAGTGCAAAATGATTAATATGGTGATTATTACTTCAAGGAAATGATAAAGTAATTATCATAAATGTTCTTCCTTGAGCTGCGTCACCCCGCTGTAGTCCATTTGTTGCTATAGAGTGGTGTTTTGGTTGAGGTTTGTTTGTGGCTCCTCAGACTGCTGTGTATTGCTATCTGCAGTTGTTACTTAAGTTGGTAAAACTAGAGAAGCAAGCGGTCGGCAACATTTGTCTCTCAAGGGGGTGTCTAACTCGGTGTTATGGTGTGTTTGACCCTCATTTACTTTTACGCTGGAATATCCCTTGAACAGACTGGAGAACAAAAGAATTGTTTGTATATGAGGATCAGGGGGCAAGTAAAGACTTGGACTGAAGGTCCTGAAATGTCACAAAGGTGCCAGATGCAGCTGGATGCCATTGGAGAGGACGTTAACACTCGCTAAATTTACTCTGCATGTAAACCTCAATAGTGTAAGCTGCATTTAGATGCTGTTATCAGTCAGGTGTGTAGGTCAGGGACGCTGCATCCTCCAATTTTCAATGCTGGCATGGTCTGTTATTTGTGCATAAATCAAATCCAGCTGACTCCTCTTTAGATGATACATCCTTGACTCTTGGAAACATCACACCGAGCATGCTGAACAGTCAGATCCTCTCGTGTAGATGCTGCTTTAACCATAGAATTGACCTCCCTGAAAAATCTATCCACATTATTATTTACACCATGGTCGAGTCGGTACGTCTGTAATTACTGCGTCACCAGAATGTTAAATTTGACACTTTCAGGATCCCACAGCCAGTCGTCTTTGTATCTGTAGAGTCATGTCTTCACATTTCCATTCATGCCTGCCTGGATGTGAGAATTATATTTCAGAGTGTGTGTGTTAGTGTGTGTGTGGGGAGTCGGTGCGACAGGGCAGACAGCTCCTATTGCTCTTTTGGATGAGAGCAGGGCGTCTGCCAGCATGTCGACAGGCTCACTGGGAGAAATACTGGATACAATCACAGCGTCCGGGTGCGTCGGTTCAGCCTCGGCGTCGTGTGTCTCTGGCTCTGTCTGTCTAAGTGCCTGGAGTCATGGCAGGGAGCTGGGGCCGCGGCTAAATCTCTGCGTTTTTGGTTCTTTCCTTCTGATGGCCAGATGGAGTTTGGTCTCGAAGGGAAAGATGATGTCTGCATAATGTCCACGTAGATTCTCATTCATCCAGGTCATGGTTATCTTGAAGACTCCAAAGACAGACAACTGGACTGTGTAGAGTTCAGCTCAACTCTATGTCTGATTATGATCAGAATAGCTGTCTAACATTTCTATAGTGTTCACTCTAGGGCTGGGCGATAAACCGAAAATTTACCAATACCGAAATTTACGACAATAACCAACGTCATTTTGCCCATGTCGGTATAATTGATGTAGGGTTGCAAAGGGGCGGGAAATTTTCGGTAAATTTCCAGAAACATTTCTTGGGAAGTTAAACTGGGGAAATTTTGGAAATAATCCAAATTGGAAACTTTTCATTGGAATTATTGGGAATTTATGGGGATTAACTGAAATTGAGGGTAATTTAAACAAACTGTATCAAATTAAAACATAAATGTAAATATTTTTCCTTCAACATTAGTTTGTGTGAAATGCTTTCATTGGCAAATGTGGCATTTTTCTGTAGAATAAAATAACTAAAAAGCTTGTAAATCTGATTGTTTTAGCCAAGATTATACTACAATATATTTTCCCCAACTTCTTTTAAGTTCCCTGATGAGAGTCAATGTCAATTTTGTAAATTTCAGATTTATTCTTGTTAATTCCCATGGAAACTTTACAACTTTGAAAATTCCTGCAATTTTGCAACCCTAATTCAGTGTCCGAAAAAATAAAATAAATAAAAGTTTGTTTTGGATGTGTGTAGGTAGGCTTTGGTCTCACATCCCTTTAAGACGTGACTCCACCTCATCCAGTCCGTAACAAAGAGGGAAAGACGGGTGAGGAGATGGAGGACGGTTCAAAAGTTATAGCGGCTGAAGTCGACGAAGTTAGTTATTGTCCATTTATCGTTATCAAGGTGAACGGCTTAATATATCGTGATATTGATTTGAGGCCAAATCGCCCAGCCCTAGTTCACTCTCTCATTATAATAATAGAAAGGGTGAGGGGAGGTAGAGCGTACAGTCTATCTTAGCGGGGGTGTGATGTAGCCCACACTTTAAATATTGATGTTGAATTTTAAAAAGTCTGCGCTTTATCATCTTTATTGATACACTTCTAAACCGATCAATTCTGTATCAGATTGTTGACCTACAGCGCTGATCCCTACGAAGTCGAATAAGCAGTTTGTCCTTTTGTTTTCGTGTCATAAATAGTGTGAATGTGTGTGTTTGTTCCTGCCTGAATCGCCCGGCAGTGACGCTGCTGTTTGCACAGACAGAGATGGATAGTCATGCAGCAGAGTAGGGTCAAGGATTCAGCTGTCTCAGCTCCAGTCTGTGCACCTGCTACACAAACATACCAGAGCTGAAGGACAGTCCTATGAGTCCTATGAATGCTCTTATGGAGTGAAAATTTACTTTATTAATAGATGATCATTATCTAGGTCATTTATATCTGTGTTTCTGACTTCATTGAAGACCTAGAAATGATGAAATAGATTCAGAGAGGACATTAGAGGAACAGAAGTGGATGTTGTTTGGACAGAGGCACATATCTGACCCAACAGATGTTGGCTGTCGATCAGCTCTGCCAGTCTTGAATCGGTCAATTCGACTCAGCTGTGTTTATTGATTTGTGTCAAGCTGTACATTTAGAGGAGCTGACCAGTTTATCTTCATTGCTGCCTGAGGACTGAGGACCCGTGACACTTAGAGCGGCCGCGTTAAATTCCTTCATTTAATGAAAATAAAAGTCATGATGAGAAGCAGCGATTCCAATATTTCCATAAATCAGCATTTTTACATCCGTGTTAGCAATTTTATTCAAGGTCTGAACTCTAACAGTCTACTTAATGATCCGTCTAACAGAGCCAGGGTTCTTTTGTTTTTGCATTAGAAGCATAATTGGCAGCAAAGTAAAAGACTCATGATTAACACACCAAGATGCATGAAGTCGTGATTAAAAATCAGGCTCATTCCTCTATAAATTTACAAAAGACAATAACCGCCACAAGAAGAGACAAAATAATTACAGGAGGAAGATTTTTTAAATTTCCATTTTAGCATTAAAGTCAAAATTTTTAAAAGTCGAAATGAAAGAAATCAAAATTTCATCATTAAAGTCGAATTTTAACATTGAAGTTAAGTTTTCATGATGATCAAAATTGAAACTATGTAAATAAAGCCAAACTGTCAATTTCAATCTGAGAATTTTTTTTTTATCTCAAACGTCGACATTATTTACGACATTTTGACGAAATGTAAAAATCGAAATTTTAACATTAAAGTCGAATTTCGAGATTAAAGTCGAGATTTTGGGATTTAAAAAAATTGAAATTATGTGAATGAAGTCGAAATGTTGACTTAAATCGTAATTTTTTTACCTCAAAATGTCGACATTATCCGCTATATTTTGACGAAATTTTTAAACGTTGAAGTAAAAAAATGGAAATTATGTTAATTAAGTTGGAATGTCGACTTTCATCTCAAAATCATAATTTTTTAATCTCCAAATGTCGACATTGTTCATGACATTTTGATATTTTGTAATCTTAAGATTTCGACTTTAATCTCCTCCTTGTAACTAAATATTTCTCTTAACGTGGCCCTAATCCTCTTCTGTAATAAATTAAATCATCTGTATTCTGTGTTTAAGTATGATTTTCTTTTTAATTAGTTACAGTCTGAATAAATTAAAACTATTGATTACAGCTCATTATAACTCATTATATTTCCCTCACTCTCTAAATGCAAAGCTCCAATCAGCTACAACCACAAGCAGAGTTATTAGCATCTCGCTCCTCATCCTGCTGTTGATTCAGTCCGAGGCGTGCTCCATTTAACTCGTTTGGGAACATTTTGTTTTTCTAAAACTCTTCGTTATGGTAGGAAACCCCGAGTTTTCGTGGCCGTAACGTTGGACGTACTGCTTTAAATTTACAGTCAACAAACAGGAGGGTGAGGTCACGGTGGCCACGTCCATGGTAATGATCTACAAAAGACGATGATCCTCATGGGTTTGTGGGTTTATGGATGATTGCGGACTTATAAAAGAGACCTAAAGGACCTTTAAAGATATCAAACACACCAACCCCATTATTAAGAGACTGAGGAAGCAGAGCCAAGAGATTCCCGGGCATTTTCCATCCAATCCCTTCAGATTATCTCCCTGAGGGTTTGGCGAACTCTGTGCCTGTAGGTGCCCTGATCCCTTTTGCTGTAACAAAACTGAGGTCTTTTGATTTTTTTTTCAGTTAACTTTTGCTTCAGAAAGCAATCCAACCATAGAAATAATGCGCCTCTCAGAGGATTTAATATTGAACTGTCACGCAAGATCAGCTTCCCAAATACCAGCCGATCCCCCCTTCCCCTGCCAATAAACAAAAGCAGAAAATGATGAATCTGTTCAGGCCCCGAGGCTGGTTTCCAAGATTTTTGGCTGCAATTTATATTTAAAAATTCAGGGAAGTGATCTGAATAAAAATCATGAAAAAAAAAAAACAATAATAAAAGTCAGCGAGTCAAAGAGATATTTGAAGCATCAGCTGCACCTTTTTATCTTCACGTTCTCTTTTCTTCTCGGTTATTCTTCATGTTTCTTCTGATTTTATTGAACTGTTAATATAAATCAATTATCAAAATTGAAATTGATTACTCTACATCTCTTACAGGAAGTCTGCATTTCCTGTAACTCAAACTTGATAGATCGCACGGGTCAAAGGTACCGGAAACCATCGATTTCTGCACAATGGCTGTAAACAGAAGTCCTCTCACTCTCTCGTCCTACTCTGCACATCTCTACACACCCACACACATTTATTGCTTCATCAATAGCATAAAGGCTTAGTTAAGTTCTTTTATTGTCATATATATCTCCTCACACTCACACACACACATATATGCAGATCCAGAAACAGCTGAATCAGCGTATGAGCCGGGCTGCTTACAAAGCTAAAATGCATTTTGCTGCCGAGGTGTGTGTTGGTTTTATAGCCGGGGTGTGTCCCTCAGGAGTCTCGGTCTGTTGCATCCGGTGTTTTTCTATATGTGTGTGTTCATTGGAGCACATATATTTAGGAATATCTGTAAAAAGTTGGAAACTTGAGTCTGCAGTCGTCCTCTGACCTTGCGCTGCGTTAGAAAAGTACTTTGTAAGGACCACATTTGTTTTCATGAAAGAATTTGAATGTTGCAGTTTTGGTGCCATGTTTACCATAAATATAGTAAAAATGAGAATAAACTGTAGTTTCCTAATTGTTCGGCCATTTGTCTAAGTTAAAAAAACAACCCCATGTAGCCTCTTACATACTCACCTGTCAAATTCTTGAAGCGGCCAATTGAAAAATCACCGTAAGAATTTCTCTGGCTGTTAGATTTTTCAGGTGTTTGTTAACATTCACCATCTTCATACTTTAGTTCTCTGACTGTCTCCAAACACCAAGCGTGAGTAAAATCATTCGCGCGAGTGAATTACATGTTAAGTCAATGTAAAGACGCGATTAGACGCTCCCACTTCGTTGGCAGCGCGAGTGATGCGAATTGGGCGGAAGCTGAAAATGTCTCAACTTAAGCGGATATTCCTGTTCCAATAACTAATCAGCACAAAGGTTGTGGGGTGACCTATGAAAACAGACAGTTGTTCCCTGGTATCTAAAATGGAGGACAGACTGATCGTGTCAGTGTGTGGGTGCAACGAATTATATGACACTGTTTCTTTCAGTCACCAAAACCGAAATAAAAAGGAGCTCGCCTGGAGGCAAGTGAGTGAGGAGGTCGGATTACCTGGTAAATCATAAAAAACCTTTGTCTATCATTTGATCCCGCTGGTTTAACTGTCAGGGATTACTGTTAAAATTAAAATTGAAGCGAGTAAATACTGTTCATTCACGTGTCTAGATTCTGCCTTGGTTGTTTTGTAACTTTATCTGTTTGGTTCTGGACTATCACTGTGTCGCTTCATCTTTCATCCCCCTGAATCTGTGGTTATGAGTGACGTGATGAGAGGAACTTTTGCTCTACAGATGTGTTTGTGTTTTCAATTGTTAGTTGTGATTGTCTACTTTGGCTTCGAGGTTTAAGTGCAGCTCTGTATCTATAGTAGGGCTGTAAAGTCCTGGTCGACTTATTCGTCGATACGTGCTGAGTCGACCAAAATTCTGATTGGTCGACTCGATTTTTTTTCCGTGTCAATTTACAGTCTATGCTTAATATCCTCAGGAGGAACGTACCAAGTGCTAATGAGGGTGTTTTCAGAGCACCTTTGTTTCACAGGTAACATCCTGTCTCAGAACACCCCCCTTGTTTCCACCCTTTTGGATTCGCCCAACCCACTGGAGACCAGCTGGAAGATAGAAGAGGGTTTTGTGTTGATATCGGTATGTTTTCACCCCACTGAGCTGCGTCGTCCCCCGCTGTCGGAGTCAGAACCCCCCGATTAGTCGACTTTTGGTTGAAAATTTGAGGGTTTTAGTCGATCAAGAACTTCTTTGGTTGATTACGGCCCTGATCTAGAGGTCCATATCAGGCAGTGAGGGTTAAATGTTTCTGCATATGGAGTTGGAGTTGTTTCTCTATATGCTCAAATCAATCATAGTTTTCATGCATTGAAGTGTGATTTATATGTCGGAGTCTAATCTATGTGGTAGTTTATGCCATAGGTTTGTGAATTTCATGCAGAAACCAACACGAGTCAAAATAATGCTGACTCCAATCGCTCTGATTGGTCCAGTGCGTCTCATTGTACTCGCACCCTTTCCCGTATCTGCTATCCACACAGATTCAGCATCCATTATTTCCTTATTTTCTTTTCAGTAATTGCAGCACTATCAACTCCACCAATCATTTATCAGCTCTAACTCCAAATTAATACACGCTAATCAGTCGCCATGGTTCCCTGAGCACAAACAAGCAGACTGGGGAATGGCGATATGACGAACAGTGCAAACTCGAGTTTAGGTGGTGTACAACATCACGCTGACAGACGAGTATGTAGTGCTCATGACAGCAAAAGGGTTTTCCTGAGCTTAGCGCTGGTACTTTGCATATCTTTCTTGTGTCAATCATGACTGTGCAGAAGTTTTATAAACTCAGCTGCCGCGGAAGTGGAAGCTCATACACAAACAGCATGCTGTTACCGAGCAGATTAGTCGAGGCCGCTGAGCGCTCATGATCAATATTTGAGGAGCAGCATGGCCTGGTGGTCACAGAGCAGGTCCTGGACTAGCCTGATCTCTACTGCAGCAAGGGAGGTGTTGCAGAAGTCTGTTTGTGTTTGCATTTGCAGAAGACAAAATAGGTGTCATAACAAAACAAGACAAAGTTGTGTGTAGCATTGCGTCATCACAACACTGAGCTAGTTTTTGCTTGTGACAGCTGTGCAAGGACAACTCTAACAGGCTCTTTTTGTGTTTACCTTTGTTTATACAATCACTTAATGAGTTTAGATGATTTTCCCTGAACCTGTTGGATCTTTCTTGGCGGCGGCGCCCTGAACTGAGCTGAACTGAGTGACGGTTTGTTTTCACATTCCAATAATTCAGCCTCATCGGGTATAAAGCCTGTTATTAGCCCTTCATTGTCCTCTGCAGAGTAAAATGGTTTGAACTTTCCAACCTCTCTCAGTTGGAGGAAGGCTGCTGCACTTTTGTAGAAAATTCAAGGTTCAGATTCAGATGGAGGACGCTCCCACTGAGGGGTTTGGAACTCAATTTTCTGGTGACCCCCTCCATGTACAAATTAACAGAGGAAAGGTTGTTTTAAAAAACCAATCAACAACTGATTCGAAATAACCTCCCAGTTTGCTCCTGTTTGGCTGGTTTTCAGAGCGAAGGTTTGCCTGTGTTTAAGGAGCAGATGTGAGAGCAGAGACAGACTCGACGGATCAAATTCTGACTGGAAGACCATTACAAATGTGTGATCGTCTTTTTCTTTAACCAGGACTTCAACAGGCCTTACCAAGGAGATCTCAGAGACCTTTGGAATAATAACAGGTCTAAAACTCGCTGAGGTCCAACCACAGATGATGAGTTTGAACTTTAGCCGCTGTGGTTTTTAGATGGGCGTTTTTAGGTCTAGTTTTTTGTCATGTCTTGGGGTGTTTGATCAGGGACAAAGAGAGTACTGAGTAAAGGGGGCCTTCATAGAGGGGCCTACATAGATACAATAACGAAGGAAATCAGTCGAGACAAGGGGCCCTAAGAGAACCCCTTTTGATGGGGTCTGTTTATTCGTACAATGGCTCCAATTGTTGGGGTTTTGGAGCAAGAAGTACCAAGCAAGAACCATCACAAATACACCAAATTAGAACTGTTTAGCATCTACGGACAAAGGTCATTTAAAGTCCACCTTTCTTTACACCTGTGATCTACCACAAAAACAGACCTGACCACGGTCACCGAGATGTACAAACACGAGTTAAAAGATCTATAAGAACTGCTGTCGGCGCCTTCTCGTTGGCCTTGAAATCTTCATCTTACACACAGTTAAAACCATAATGAACCTGCTGTGATCGTAATTGTCATTAATTAAGATTATTCATCTCAGTGAATAAGCCGATATTATCAAATTAGATCATCATCTTGAATGTTTTCAACTGCAGCTGCTGGAAACGCAGTAAAATTACATTTAATATTTCTACCAGGCAGAATCCTGCAGTCATCAATTATGCAAACTAAACTCACGCTTTGCATACTCGCACACCAATTGTGTCGCCCCAAGACAAATTGAACGTATATAGCTCGTATTCATCAGCCCACGCCGGATCCATGAAGTTAAATCGCAGGCTCCCGGAGCCTCGAGCCAGACAGCTGGCACGATATTGGCGAGATATGTCAGCTGTCAGCGGCAGCCTGGCAGAGCCGCGGAGATGGTGAGTGTCATAACCAAAAGGGGTAATTGTAATATGTGAAACTGACACTCCAATGGCTTATGGAGACTATCATGGAGGATATAATGAGGAGGTGACGCCGGTTTCGTTCGCTGTGGCATCTGCAGGTGCCAATGTAATGTGAAAGCTGCCATATGGATCCAGTTTTTACCTCCAGTTTGGACCACGGGGCGGACTTTGATTACAAAAGGCCGCCTATACTTTCCACTGGAACCTCAATAACTAGAATTGGATCCTACAAAATAAGAAAGAACCACAGGAGGGTCTTACAGGACTAAAACCTCATGTGAGAGGTGGATTGATGTGGACACTGTTGACACTTAGGGTCCGTCTCAAGTGGGCCCTGTTTTCTTTCCTGTCTGAGCTCCCTCCGTTGGTTTCTGCAGGATCACAGTTTTTCATCAACTCCTCTCTAAGAGGATTGGGCCACCTTATCATGGCGGAGAGGTTTACATGCCTTCCTGACCCTGAGAGCTGGGTGGCCTTGAGCGTTAGCTGCAGATAGATTCTCCCTGGGAAATTGTTCCTCGGAGGGAGACCGACAAAGAGAAAGTCATAGACACTCGTGGAAAGAAAGTCACTCTAAATTGAGCGGGGAAACTCTGGATAGCCGTTGAAGAGGGTCTGTGTGTGATAACAGCGAGGAGGTTTTTGTGCTCAACCTCTCGAGGGAAAGCTGTGGTGTTAAAAATGTATATATAATGAGGTGCTGCAGCATAACTCAAAAACAGACAATTATAGCTTATGTTTTAATTCGAGAGCTAATAAAGATATGCACAACGGCACAGGACTGAACGTCGTAAATTTAGCGCGGCTTGTGCATTCAGTCCCTTTAAAAATTGTTTTTCCCATAAACTGTTTACGAGGAGAGGATGTATGCCCTGAAGCTGCTGCAAGACTTGCTTAAATTGAAGATACATGGCTTTGGCTCGGCTGTATGGAGAGAAACCTGTGTACAATCACACTCGATGAGCAGCAAAAGCTCAAACAGCCCCTGTATTAGCATGTGGAGGCCATCTTTTGCTATAGTTGTAAAGTTAAAGGTAGAGTAGGCAGGTTTCTGTTAAAGAAGCATCTTTTATGTCGTGTATATACAAAAAAAGCTTCTAAAATCAGTCAATAGCTATTAGTTATTGACGATATTTGGTAATATGACGATATCTCTGTGTTCTCTTATGCCTGTGTAGTCGACATTTCAACATTTTTGAGCAGTCCTGTCATTCTGACTGTAAACAAAACTGTTCTCCACCTCCCCGATCTGATTGGTTGTGAGGCAGACGCTGCTCCCCCATGTCGTTCACGAGCCCAAACAAAGTTAGTGTGCTACAATATCAGACAGTAGAAACCAACCAGAAAGTTCGGAAAATTGTCTGAATCCTCCTTTGGCCACGACTGCCGACACAAGCAAGAAAACAAAGTAAATATCGGAGACTCTGGAGGAATAACGGGCGCTTAAAACGGAGGTAGACCGGACAAGAGCTAAAAAGCCGGGTCAACATCAGTGAACGCTTCAGGATCTTGGTGACCCTGTAACCTTTCTGCTGGACAGGTAGACCGCTTTAACAAAGTAAGACAAGTGTCTGTAACGGAAGTGTTTCTTGTCAAACGGACCTGCTGTAGCGTGTTGTAGCGCTGCGAAACTGTTGACCTCGGGTGATTATCTGAAGTATTTATCTGCATTAAATCTGAGGAGCTGAGGGGAAAACTGTTTGGGAGGGGTCGAGTTTACATTCAAGATTTCTCCCAAAAACTGTCACTTCCTCAGATCCTGACTACCCCACCTTTAAGCCATCCAAATCCATGCAAACCTTCACTTTAGCTTTACCCACACGACAAGATAAAGAAAAAAGGCGACAAAAAAATAGCAAAATGTGCATAAGATTAAAAATGAAAGTCAGAAAGATGTTGTAGCTGTGGTGTACTGTGGACTCTTCTGGAGCACTTGCCGTGTTTGTTTTGGTGTTTTTCCGCCTCTGCATATCTGTACTGGTCTCCTCCCTCCCTTTAAGACGAGCCAATCAATGCAGAGCTTCATTATTATCAGTTCATGGATAATGAGGGTCGAAACTGATCCATTCATCATAATCTTGCCAAACCTTCCCTCAAAGATATCTAGACTAACTCAATAACTGGGTGTAGCTCTGGGGTAAAACCCTCACAAGTTGGGGGGTTAGGTTTCTTTTTCTGCAGGTGTAATAAAACATCAACATCTCAGCCCTTGAATTGATGTGTGTTAGCAGAACAACTCCAGAAATATAAAGACAGAATTGCACATCACGCTCTCAGGATTCACTGCAGGCGTGTACCTCGACTCCCTGAGATAGAAAACCCACAGCCTAATGCACAAACTTTCCCTCTCTCTTTCTCACGCACACACACACACATAAACTCCTCCAGACTCCAGCCTGGGAGCGTGGATCCACTTCCTCACGAACATAAACACAAACACAGGACAGCTTACAGTGTCTGAGTCGGGTGGGGGGGGAGGCTCACAGTAAAAGTGCGATGGATAACAGTTGACAGCCAGCAGGAGATGTGTAACTGTTGGCTGTTTGTGGTTTTTTGGGGGGGTTTATGGTGCAGCGTGAAGCATCATGGGAGCTGGATTGTTAGTGCACAGTGGAAGGAGTCAGCGTGTGTGTGTTCGGTCGGTAAATTGGAAAGGAAGGTCACAGATTCACAGTCGATTCCCACCACTGACTTTGCTTTAAGGACACATTTAATGCATTCAGAGCAATGAAGTGATAAAGTGTCTTTTTTTTATCCTTTGAAAACCTCTTTTCTTTCAGCCGCCTCCTCTCAGTCTGCTTGGCTTTATTTAGTTTTTGTTTTATCTTCGCGGAGAGAGCGAATCCAAAATAGTTTTCATCAAAGCTTCTTCCTCGTAGTTATTTGTGCCGCTTCCTGCTGAGAGTGACCGGTAATGCCAACCTTGATTCTGTTCGAGGTGAAATTTCAATCCTCTGACTGTAAATGCCTTTAAAAGCAAAGCTGGTGGTGAATATTTGGACGATTTAATACATTCAGATAACTCTGACTGACCTTAAGATGAATGAATGAGTCCGGCCGGTGTTCATTTAGACTCAGTCGATCAGTTTTAGTCACGATTTCTGACTGTTATAGGTCTGTACTGGGACCTTTTTATGCAGCTGTTTTAACGCTCCATGGAATTAATGCATGAATTGAACATTTTCAGACTGACTGACCGAGCTGATGTGGTCTGAGGTCGGAGTTTACAAAAGATGTATGAGATTAATATTTGAAATCAATAAAGAAAGAAAGATATTTACACTTGTTAATAGTGCACCACGCTCAAATGTGGAAATTATGTATAAATATAAGCATTTAACTTTCAGTTTCCATAAATATTCTTAGACCTGATTTAATGAGTCTACACCTGCAGAAAGACACTCCGACTGAAAGGGGGGTTTAATACTTTTTTTTCAGACTCTATATTTCCTTTCTGATACGTCTTTAATATCTTTACGTGATTTTTTTAGATTTAAAAGAAGAGTCAAATTTCTCACAGTGGTGTGTTAAAGTAACAGTTTTTCAGCCTCAGTCTGAAACGTTTAGATTTAGCTGCTGTCTCTTTAAGGCCCCCCTGTCCACAAGCCTACTCTCTTCTGATTGGCCACCTCTCCAGAGACTTTACGGACAGAGTTCGTTGTTTTTGGCCCCGCTCACTGTGTTGTGGTTGAGCAGTGGAGCAAAGTTACCCCCATAAACATCACATGTGTATATGGATATGTATTATCTCTATGGTTTCCCCGCTCTGCTGTGGGTGTCACTTCACACGCTGTTGGAGGAAGGCCATTTCAACCAGTAAGGAGAGTCTATGCACTTAAACTACGGTCCCGCATTTTAGCGCGTTTGTCTGAGATTTGAGCGGTTTACATCTACCTATCAGATTATGACAAAATACGTTTACCTTGTGATTTGAAACTTTGCGTACATGTAGTACAGACACCGAACTCTCTAACTTTGCAGTTTTTGTTGTAAATGTCCAAAAGCATGATACCTCCCCTTTAAAACACATCATTAAACACAATTACACACTTTATATGTTTAATTCCTTCAAAGGTAGTGTGACCAGACGTCCCGATTTACATGGACTGTCCCCGTTGTGGATGACCAGTCCCCGGCTAAAGCTGTCCGCAGAAATGTCCCCGATTCAAGCGTTTCATGAATTAGAAAAAAATGTTGCATGAAGACTAAAACAACAGTTCTTACTTTAGCCGAGTAGGTAGGAAGCGCGAGTAAGCATGTTGAACGCAGTCCTGAACAACATTTTTAACGGGAGGCGTACGCTCCCGTTAGTAGCGCTCAGTACTACTAAGTAGTACGGAGTTGTTGTCTGTGATCCCCCCGCAGAAGTCCCCCTCCCGCCTGAAATCACATTTTGCTTAGCACCCCCTCCCTCCGGATGTCCTGGATTTCATTACAGAAATCTGCTCACCTTATTCAAAGGTACACTGTCGTCTTTTTTTTAACTGCATCAAGAAATACCTGATCTGTAATATATTCATGCTGCCTCTGAAAACATAAACTAAAACCAGGATGGAAAGCCGAGCTCTGCCTGATTGTGTTTCTTCCTCTTTGGCTGAATTTATGTCTGTAGCGGTTTTGTTATCTCCATTAAAAAAAAAGAAAAGACTGTTTAAAGCACAGACAGATATTTTTTTTCCCCTCATTGACTGCTCCGCTGAATTCCGTTTGTTCTTTTCCTTCTTGTCAAATAACAGATAACACTCGATTACTTTAATCTGAGGAAGAATACATCAACAAACAATGCTTCAAAACTCCAGTTTCATCTTTAACTGCTGATGACAATCAATAGGAG